CGCAACTGTTCTTTACACCTATTAGCTCTCGGTGCCGGGCATCCAGGAACAACTCACTACTGGCATCCGCCTCACTCTCCCTTGTCTCCTCCCCACTGGTCCAAGACTCAGGTGCCTCCTGGTGGCCAACCAGCCGCTCTGCGCCCTGCTCGGAGTCGGAACCCTGTCCAGGGTCCTCCACATCCTCCAAAGCCGACTCAGAGGGCCCCTCGCTGTCGGAGTCTGCTGGCAGCTCCAACGGCTCCTGCTGGGCCACAACATTAGTGTATCATTAAAATGGTGTCTTGGAGGAGACTGAGTAGAATGAGGGCTTCTGTTTGGAGAATGCTCCACTGGTGTCTTTGGCTAGCCATATGCTACCAGAGACACAAAGTCATCTTATCATCACAGGAGAATCTGACTTGTCCCAGTGTTCCTTCAGAAACACACGTGGCCCAGTTAGCATAGAAACGCCCAGCAATGAGCAATTAATAGCTTATAAGTTAAAATGCTTTCATTCTAGAATAAAAAAAGAATCTCCGTGTTTTTCTGAAATCACAGCTGAAACTAGGTAAACAAGACTGTTCCATAGCTTTATGTGTACTTTCGACTGCCTGTACGTAGCCTGAAGAACCACTGTATATTTTCATAAGCAAAAAGATAAATTATTTTAGGAAAAAACATTCTGTCATGTCAGAAAATGTAACATTTCAATATGGTTTTAAGTGAAATGATAACCCATTAACTATTCAGATAATCACATAAGAAACAAAAATAATTTATTGTAATAAGAATAGCAAAAAATTAAACGTACGTGCTTGCCCGAGTCGCAAAGGCTCACAGTAATATCTCACAAATACCGATAGATGTTTATAGCTCAGAGTTGAAATGAGGGGTCTTTGGTTGTTTTCTTGCAGATCTTTCATTACTAATTACACCTAAGAGCCGAGGTGGCGCAGTGGTTAAATGCAGCACTGCAGGCTACGTCAGCTGACTGCAGTTCAGCAGTTTGGCTGTTCAAATCTCACCGGCTCAGGGTTGACTCAGCCTTCCGTCCTTCCGAAGTGGGTAAAATGAGGACCCGGATTGTTGTTGGGGGCAATATGCTGACTCTGTAAACTGCTTAGAGAGGGCCGAAAGCTCTATGAAGCGGTATATAAGTCGAACTGCTATTGCTATTGCTATTGCTACTCAAACCAGGTAACATCATCAATGCTCAATGAAGAGAATTAATGTTACCTACTCCAAGCAATGAAACATTTGCAAGAAAACAACCGAGCATCATGGACATCTCATTTCACAAGTCCTTGGACGCAGGCTCAAGAAATAGGATGGATACTGATACACTTCCCACTAGCTCAATATTTTTAGATACTCGAGTGTAGGTATCAAAAAATGACCAGAATGGCTGCCATTCTGTAGCTGGGAATATTCTAGCTAGGAAAGGAAGAAGAGATGGTACTTCAATGAAGATCTTCAACAAAAAAGCACCACTCACATGCTACTAAGGAAACATCAAGAGCCAGTTTGGCATGATAGTAAAGCATCAGAGCCGAGGTGGCGCAGTGGTTAGGGTGCAGAACTGAAGAGGCCACTTCAGCTGACTGTTATCTGCAGTTCAGCGGTTCTAATCTCACCGGCTCAA